ATCGTCTGCTATTTGAATATCAAACATTGTTTTGCATAAGTGACACTACTTCAGGCGCACTGATCGTAAAAACAATTCTGCCCTGTAATTTGCATATAATGAAGTGGGGTCTCCATCGAGCTATCAACACACTTCAATATTGCCCGTTTAATTGCATATTTTACTGGAAAATAAATATTGATTCTGATAAGGCGAAGAAATTAATGATCTATTGGGTTAGCGCTTGGAAGCTTCTCTCGTAGAGAAGAGACTACCGGCGGTTTTTTATTACTTATTTCTCACATTCTCTATTAAAAACAGATGGACCGTGTACTAAATTTAATTAATTGTAGAATATAGTTTTGACAAGTAAATATTTAAAAATCAAAACCTCTACGTTACTACATTTTTTCACAATTTATTTACATAAGACATTCGAACTAAAATTTTTTTTAACCCCTATTTCTTTTTTTATGTTTATAGTAATATTTATCTATGTTATGTTCTTATTTTTAGTCGAAATACTACCTATAACGAATTTTAATAATAGAAATAATGATTTACTGTTTGTATAGTTGTTTTTATAAATTCTGAATTGCAAACAATTTTAATACCAACAGCTTTTATTTATCAAAAAGTGCATCTGTGCATAGTTGATAGAAGTAAATATGACTGTAACTGTAATTTTATACATTCATATACACATGTAAAATATAGTAATGTGTATTAGCGTACACAACGAATGCCTTTTCAAAAGCATTCTTCAGATGCATTATTAGGTCCATTTCTATTGAAAAGCATAGAAGTGTGATCAAAGCGCAAAAATCTCACTTATGCGTCATATATAGAGTTTCGTCCAAATTTTCCACGTGGCTATCGTTAGTTAGAGATATCAGGGTATATATTTCACAGGTATCGATTTGCTATTTTCTTTTTACTGTCAGTATTTTTGATTATTCCATTCGTTTATACAGTTTTTGAATTCTCAAGGGTATTCATAACGAACCTAGAAATGTTAGTGAATCTGCATTTTAAATTCGACTCATGTGATATGTAAGTATAAGTATATATATATATATATATATATATATATATATACCCACGTCTACAATTCAAAAAATCCAAAAATTTTCAATATCTCAACCTATACTTCATAATATCCTAATTAATGTCCTGCCTTTGTGATTTATTTACGGTCTTACCATAGGATATACGTTTTAAAAATTTTCTTTTTCAGTCTTTTAAACAGTAAAACAATTTAGAAAGTATTATATTATTAGAGTATTCGCTATTCGGTAAAAGTACAATATCACCTTGGACTTTTTCACTCAAAATAATTACTTCAATAATGTTACTTATAATGTTGACATTCTCGGAATCTCGTACCATATATCAATTCATTTTTAGTAATAATATTTTAATTACATTTTTTTTACTAATAACCTATTATACATTATAACTTAAGTTCATATTTTAAGTTAATTAATTTGTCAAATCCTGTTCATATGTGCACTATTCAATATTTATTTATTTATTTATTTATTTATTCATAAGCAAGCCGTAATCAATAATAATAGTTATTATTTCAGGCTCTTGTCAAGCTTATTCATAGTTAATATTAAAAGGATAGTAATTTTATAATAATCATAGTAGCTGCACGAATTTCGCATCTGAAAAAAAAGAGCTGAAAAAAAAGCATTCGAACATTAAATACAATGTTCATCATCAAGTTAATCATATTGAAGTCTATTTGACCACCAGTCAAGCTCAAAATTCTTGCACAAGGTTGAAAGTTGTACTCATTTAAAACCGTAAAAATGTTAAATTAATAAAATAGCAATAAAAAAAATTAAAAAAAAATATGGTTGTACAGGCGATCAAATGGTCAGGCTACATAGATAAAGGATAAGGATTATGCAAGAAAATAGTTATTGAAATCAAATTGAGAAAATTCAGTAATGTCGTAAAAAGCTAATTCTTTAAAAAGTTTAACTAGGGAAGCATGAAATTTTTTGCTGTCTAAGTTTCGGATGTTGAGTGGAACCGTCGATCGTATTGAAAGAGCTGGTTAATTTATATGTGCGCGCCTTAATAAGTTTGTGTCTAGTGTTGTAGTTTGAAGAGGACGAAGCCATATCAAGAAGTTTCGAATTGTTTTTGATGAAAGATAATGTTACCAGCAGAAAAATGCATGGGACAGTTAGAATATTGTGTTTTTTAAATATGTTTCTGCAGGAAGCTTTACTGGGCAAGGAAAAAATTATTCGAATAGCTCTTTTCTGAAGCTTAAATATTTTAATTAGTACGGACGAAAAACCCCAGAATTGGATGCCGTAGGAAACGTGAGAATAAAAGTTGCTATAATAAACTCAAAGTAAGCAATTTAAACCAAGTTTGGGTTTTAGGGTGCGCAACATGAAACATGTTCTAGATAAAGTTGGTGATAGTGAGATAGAGATATGATCAGACCACTTTAAATTATTATTAATATGGATAGCAAGAAACTTTGATACTTGCAAAAAATTATATGCTGAATTATTGATGGTTAAAGAAGTAATATTATTGGATAAACGATTTTTTGTACAAAAAGATATGATTTGGGTCTTATCATTATTGAGGACTAGATTATTTTCACAAAACCATTTCGTTATTTCTGACATAACCACGCTTAATTTATGTTGTAATTCATTAAGAGATTTGGCCTTGATGATAACGCTGGTATCATCCGCAAAAAGAATAAAATCACAAAGATTTGTACAGTGGAGTAAATCATTAATATAAATGAGAAATAAAAGAGGCCCTAAAATTGATCCTTGGGGCACACCCAATGTACTTGTCAATTTATCAGAAATTATTTGCTCGTGATCATTATTTAAGTAAACGCTTTGAGTTCGATTGGACAGGTAAGATTCAAATAGTTTGAGTGGACGTCCGCGAATACCACAATTTTCTAATTTGTCAAGAAGTCTTTGATGAGAAATACTATCAAAAGCTTTGGACAGATCGCAAAATATCGCAGTACAATATATGGCTTCTTCGAAGGAGTCAATGATGTTATGAACTAAATTATAAATTGAGTGGGAAGTAGAATGGTTCTTTCGGAAACCATGTTGATTTTTGAACAAAATATTATATTTATTGAGAAAAGACGTTAATCTAGTATGCAAGATTTTTTCAATTATTTTATCGAAAGAGTTCAAAAGGGAAATGGGGCGGTAATTATTTATATCGTCTTTATTATTTTTCTTGTGAAGTGGAAAAATTTTTGAATGCTTGAGGTGGGATGGAAATATTCCTTCATCGAAGCATTTATTTAAACATAACATAAATTTATCTATGAAAAAGGGATAGAATTCTTTAAGAATAAGACTAGGTATTTGATCCGGACCCGCTGAACTAGTAACTTTTATCGATAGAAAGGTTTGCTTTAGTTCTTCTAAATTTACAGGATAAAGAACGAATGTAGAATTATTTCGCGCGGATAGAGATTTAGTCGAACTAATGGTGATCGAGTTGATTGCGCTTGTTAATTTAGACGCTTCGGTGACAAAAAAGTTATTAAATTTATTAGATATGACTACCTTATCAATAATCTTGTCGCCGTTAATTGTAAGACAATCAATCTACGATCAACTAACTAAATATTCCATATCTAATGCCAAACAAATGAAATTTTGACACAATGAAACTTCTAAATAATTTTTTGAATGAATAATTTTCTTTGTATTCTGAAATAATTTAGTAGAGTAAAGCAAAATATGACAAGCATAAGTTTAAAAAAATAATCTGTTTTTTCTTAATTCCGACTTTTAAAAAAAAATAGCAATAATTGTAATTTTTCTTTATATAATCCATTCATTTAATAATTTTCTCTCTTTCATAATTTTATAGTTTTTATAAAAATCCACTAATTGTTAGTTTTCTTTAAGTATATTGTTTGTTTATATACTTAACGTCGATGATAAATAAAAATCTCTTAAACTTTTTGGTTATTTCTTACAATTTGATGGTTCGAATGTTCGAATTCAATGGTTCGAAGTTCTACACAATATTTACAAATCGAAAACTCAATCATCTAATACGAGGTGTGTTCAAAAAGTACCCGGAACTACTAATAATTAAATTTCGCGGGTCTGGAGTGTCTGATTGTCAAAATTTTTTTTTTATTGTGTTGGTATACATGCCCCTAAAGTATGATGAAATTTTCAGCTATATTCACTGTTTACTTTGTCTGTGGTAGTCGCTAAGGTTCGACGTGTTTTTCTGAGCTCGGCGATTTTTACAATGGAAGAATTGAAAAGTCAAAGAATTTGTATTAAATTTTGCGTAAAAATTGAAATAAAGTGTTGCAAAGTGCAAAAATTCACCAGATATGGCTCCGTGTGACTTTTTCCTATTCCCAAAGTTGAAGAGACCCATGAAAGGACGGCGGTTTTCCTCGATTGAAGAAAATCGCTGAGAGTGCTCAAGGACATATCAAAAAGTGAATATCAAGGGTGCTTCGAAAATTGGAAAAAACGCTGGCATAAGTGTATTATATCTGGGGGGGACTACTTTGAAGGGGACCACATTAATGTAGACGAATAAATAAATATTTTTTTGAAAAAACGAAAATTTCGGGTACTTTTTGAACAGACCTCGTATATGTATATATGTATATATATATATATGCGTGTGTGTGTGTGTGTGTTTCTTTTCCGAATAATTAATCGAAAAATAAGATGTTCAAGTACGACGTTTCTAAACTAGATACCCCATCATCCGTTTTTTCCGTATTATTGTTCGGAAGACAAGAGAATTTTTATGATTTAGTTTGTGTAATTGAATAAAATAGTGTTATGGAACATAAATAATTAAGATGAATTACAACATAAATTTGCACGAGTAAGTTGTAATCACGAATGCCTCAGAGGCTCAAAATGAGATTTTCTTCTGCTGTTTTCATTTACAATATTTTTATTATATAGGTATATAATATTAATTTGGTTATATAACTGTAATGTTATTTTTTATATTTTCAGTGAATTTTGACCACTTCCAAATTCTTAGAGCTATTGGAAAGGGTAGCTTCGGCAAGGTAAGAAATATTCTAGCTGCAATACTTATGTGCTTATAACCATATTATATATATATATATATATATATATATATATATATATATATATATATATATATATATATTTGAATAGATTTTTTCTTTCATATTATCAGTTTCCAAAACTGTGGGACATCTATTAATTATTTTCAAAGCTATTTTTATGTTTGTACATTTTGGTACATTTAGGGACGATTATTAAAATGGTCAATTATTTTCATAAAGCATTAAAATAATTCCCTCTTAAGCAAATGATGTACTACTTAAAAAATCGATACTTGGTTTGAATAAGTTACCATATCGAATTAAATGGCCGATATAGCAATAGAATATAAATAGAATTTATTGTTTGCTATTATAAAAAAAGATTTAATTATAAGCAGTTATTTTTGTTTATTATAATTATATCAATTATGGCAAGAATCTTACTGTCTAAATACAAACGTATTTCAATAATTTGGTAAGGCGGGGCACAAAGGTCTTTGTGACTTTGAGCAATTATATTATGAAAACTAAACCAATTATATCAATAACACATATCGTACAAATAACTATCTGACTGTGTTCAGCAAATCTCTCAATTAATTTATCATTGAAAAAATAATACCCCATAGGCGGGGTAAAATGGGACAGCCAGATGGCAAACAGATCCATTGTCTTAATTTTAATTTTAAAAGGATTTTACGTGATAATAGCAAAATATAAATTTTATAGGTAATACTTTCACAGAGATAACACTATATATAACCTTGATCTGGTATTTCGTCAAAAATAATGATAAGGAAAGTTGTAATAACTATTTATTAAACTTATCTTTTGTAAAACTGCTTATTATTATTTTGTAAAACTTATGGGCCGAATTTGCCGTACAACTGACCAATGTTATGCAATGACTATGTTATGTAGAACTTTCCAGACTTAATCGTTCTAAATATTGTCAAAAGTCATGTGATTGCTGTGTAGTCAGGCGTTTTTCTCAGATTGCCAGATAGAAAACCTAACCTAGAAACCGCACAAATGTCAAAAAACGATCTTAGATAACACGGTCTTTCTGACTCAGCTTCATAACATACAAGTGACGTTGCAGTTTACGTGTAAAACGCCTGAATGCACAGAAAATACATATTATTTTGACAGTGTTTAGTATAGTTTAGTAGCATAATAGATACAAGTTGAAGCCTAATATGGCCTTGCCATAACATTGGTCTGTTGTGCCACAGAATCGGTCCATTAATTTACTTTTTGATTTACTATTTCTTCAGCTGGTTCTTTTGTAAGCGTAAGCTTTTATAGAGGTTATATAAAAAACATATAACAGAAAACAATAATATATATCTAAAAATTATATAAAGCTCAAAAACCGAAAAAACTAACAATGAATTAAAATACTTTTGTTATAAATTTTCAAACATTGTCATTTATCTTTAGATAGCAACGTCTTAAGAATCAAGTTGATGGCTGCTTATTCATCTTTTACCCTCTACTTTCTAATATTATTAAAAAATTCTTCACCTGTTTTTAAGATATCAGTGATGGACCTTTTTACCCGCGAAACTTTAATCCTCCCTCTACCCTACATATGCGATTGTACAATATACGGGTACGATCGTATTGATTATTTCGAAGTTTTCTTCCGAATGTACACCCATTTTCGTTCATAAATTCGATCTTACTAATGGCATTACCGCCGCTTTGCGTTTCGCTCGATTTTAAAATCACAAAGGCGGCACTCGCCGATATTTGCGGCGTAACTTAATTTGAGTAAGAATCAATTTATTCTGATTTACACGTGTCAGGAAATCGATCTGGTAAACGAATCTTAACTTTCCTAACTCAATCTTCAGTCTCATCTCAGCGAATGAGTCTTAGCGCGATTGAGCGTACGATACGTCGCCTTCGATCAAACAGAGGTAGGTAAGGTAATCCATTGGAATTGCGATTAGATTCCGGGCGAAGTGGAAGTAGATTGATCATAATTTGTTAAATCTTCGCATTTTAATATCATTAAATATTGAACGCCATGACCTGACTTCGTTTAAATAAGAAAACCTTCATGTTTCAATACAGGTACATTAACATAATTTTCCTTTAATTTTACTGATGTTTGCATTTATATGCAATGTATAGTCTTTGCTAAATTCAATATTGAATATGTTCGTAGTTTATATATAATATTTTCTGAAATAAACATGACATACGGCTAAATTAAATGACGTATAAAATTATTATTGTACGATTCTTATTATACATTTATGATATGCATTCAATGATTAGATCATTAACTATATGATAGAGCGGATCATCAAAGGTCTACCACCGATATCTAAAAAGCAAGTAAAATTAATTTTTTTAACAATATTTGAAAGTTGAGGGAAAAGCATGTTTAGCCAGCCATCACCTAGATTCTTACGACGTCGCTATAAAGATATAAACGGCAACGTTTAAAAATCTATAACAATAGTATTTTCTTTCGTTGTTAGTTTTCTCGGTTGTTTACCTTAGACTTTACCCTAGAAAAGGTAAAGACAGTAAAAAATAGTAAATTAAGTTAAAAAAACAATTTTACAATAGATAAATTAAATAAATAGTTATTCCAACTGTGCTGATGTATACTCCTGACTAAATACATAATTAAGATTATATACAGTGTCTATAAAAACTGTATCCAGGAAATTTATTTTTGATTAAATAATATAGTAACCCACCTATGGGTTAAAAAAGACCAGGTGACAAATTTTCTCTTGCTGAAAAAGTAACTCTATCGCAAAAATCGAGAGGGACGGTTCTAACGCAGTGCAATTTCTACCTATAGATTGAAATCAGATTATCTATATATTTATATACTTCGATTGCACAATTTATCATATTACACAAGTTTATTGTAATTATACTTTATTTTACAATTACTGCTGTATTTTACAATTTTATTTACTTCCAGTTAATTGTATCTAAATTCTGTCGACCTAAAAGCAAATTATAAAAAATTGACACACAAAATTATAATAAATATTCACAAAATTTAGAATAGGACCGAGCACAAAGGTCCGATTTTACTAATTATACTGTCTAAACCAAATGAATTACATCACAACACGTAACACGTATTAAATAAACAATTATCGAACTATGTTCAGTAAAATTACCAGTTAATTACATGGGCAGTGTAGAATGGGACAGCCAGGGGCAAACAAATCCAATGCCTTAATTTTAAATTTGAGGGTTTTTTACGAAATAACAGCTATATTATTCTACCAATGTAAAATATAAATTTCATGAGTATATTATTTATGAAGATGACACTGTATATAACACTAATCTGCCATTTAGTTCTTTCTACTTCATCCACATATTAGCTTTTATAAAAGTTATATAAAAAACTGTCGAATCTAACTAAATAATAATTTATCGTATAAAACGATTTAATAACGTATACATAAAAATTATATCGTAGTCTTGCAAACTAAACAACAGCGTTCATAATTACAAAAAACTAACTATGAAAGAAATTTTGTTATGGATTTTAAAACCTTGCCATTTACCTCCTGTAAATAACGTCGTCTAAATCAAGGTGATGATTGGTTATACATTTTTTTGTCCTCTATTTTCAAATATTGTAGTGCGCGTAAGATTCACACGCGATTGTAGTGAAACTTATTTGCTACTGTACAAGATGGCATTTAAGTAAAAATAAATACATCATATAACAATTTTGAATAATGTTTATTAGTAATATGGTAACACATTTATTAGTGTCAACCATTATAGATATTTATATAATAAGTAATAAAGTATATATTTATAACAGCATTAAAAATATGCATAATATTCAAAAACAATAATGTAATTAAAGTCATACTTCAAATATGACATGATCGGTTTGTCATTGTAATTAGCATTTAGAAATGAAGTAATTGCTGATTAATAAATTCTATAATATTCGTTCACTCAGTGGATTATGTTAAACAACGCCTAAACAAATATTTTTTTTGAAACTTCACTCATCATGTAATTGTGTTTGAAGAACTTCATGTAATTAAAATTAACATACATTCATTGACTGCTTGTATTTTTTTTACATTTTTGCTGGCGATATAATCTCATTCTTTGAACAGCTGTAATATCTGTCTTGCCTGAAAAATATTTTCCATTTTAATAACTTCATCGATTTATAAAAACTCGAATGTTTAATTTGTTTTATTATTTTCAAGGAACATAGTAAAGGATTCATTTTTTATTAAATCAAGATTTGCTCTACGATGTAACTTTAAAATGTTTATTTTTCTATGCCGATTTCCTTGTTGATATCGGTACGCATACAACTTTGATGCCGGTACGCATACAACGACAGATCTCTATTCACATACGCGACGACTAATCACAATCGATCCGTATAGAAATGATCTCATCGAGAGCGAATGACGAACAGTTCGGGCGTAACGGAACTTCCGTTGCATTTGTACGGATTTACACCCTAGTCACTAAAGGAGTTTTACTTCAAAAATTCTTAACTTTACTGGTTTTTGAGATATCGGTGATGGACCTTTTCACCCGCGGAATTTTAAGCTTTACTTTACCATACTGGTCTTTGATGTCGCACGATATTATACCTATAATCTAACCAATGTTTTTACAATTTAATTTGAAATATTCAATGAAATTTTTGTATAGACCACAAACTTCTATATCTAATTGTTTAAAAGTTGAAATACTATCAACTAAGAAATTTATGTTATCAGTAGGTACTCTACAAATTTTTGGCTGTGATTTTTAATATGAGTTAACTTACTTTATGTTATTGTTGTGCTTATGTTATTGGTCCAATTTTCGATCCATTCCAATGTGGCAATGTGGCGTTGTGGCTTTAGCATTTACCTATAGTAGTTTATTCGTAATCCTAAAAAATCTTTCAATGCATTATCCTGTTAAGCTCATCACGTCTAAGCCATTTGTCTTCACCTTGAATTCGCACGGAATCTTGCCAA